TTTGTGTATATTGAACAAATGAAGTATTTTTTGTTTCTCAATAGTAATAGAAAATGTTTAAAATATTGTACTCGATATTCCTCTCGAATTATAATTTAGATGAAAAATGTCAAGTGAGTAGGTCTTTATACATGTGGTGTGGCTTATTATTATTATTATTATTATTAATTCTGACACTTCATGCATTATCATAATCATGTGTTAAGAACATAATAATCTACTATTACATTCACTTTGCATAATTGATGACATGGCATTGGTATAGTTTTGATTTGAATGTGATATGTGCACTCGTTGAAATGATTCAAGGGTACTGTATGTTCTATTCTAATCGTATTTATCTTGTGTGAATGTGGAAGAGATTCTGATCTCACTTGTTGCATGTTGGTTAGAGAGATTATTCTATTTTATTCTTTTCTATTTTGACCCCACTTTTTGTATGCGGGTGTGGAGGTTAAAGAGAGTTATAAATGAAAGTATAGTTATAAGTAGATATTGAGACATAAGCATTATATTTATGTATTGCATATTCTGAAAACTATCTAAATCCAAAAATATAATTAATATTTTAAGCACATTCTGATAACTCTAAAATCTGTATATATGCACCGTTTAATCCATTTGATGAACCCAAGTGTAAGTAAGATTATGTGACTAGTGTTCTGTTCTCTGATATCTTTGTGAAGGCTATATGTGATAGTATATATGACAACTCTGAAACCAAGTACATCATGATAATCCTAAGAAACCTACTTTTAGAACTCAATGTATTCTTTACTAACTCATTGATTTACTTAACATCTAAATAAATTGTTATTAGTGATATAAATGGATATTGATATCTATGATAAGCTTGTGAAAGAAGTCTACTGAGCTAGTGATGTTCACCTTGTGGATTTTCCGACATTTCAGGAAAAGCGAAGGGCCCAGTTTAGTGGAGAAGAGTAAAGTCAAGTTCGTTTGAATCAGCTTAGCTAAATTATTTTATAATCTAGCATATTTTTTTGATTTATTAAATTTATGTGAACTGAGTTATTGTATATGAATTTTGAAGAATGAAATGAAATGATATTTCTATTATTATTACATTGGATTTTAGAGTTAGCTCTAGTTTATTTTCCATTGTGGTTTGGTTGTAAATTTTAATTTAGGCATTCAATCCTTTCATTGGATCTTAGGTGTGGGCCTCCGAAGGAGCACCGCTCGCGGGGTTTCGAACGCAGAGGGTACGGCCACACTATCCCGTAGGACAAAACGATCGTAGGCCTCTACACTCGACACGAGACACTTTTAAGTAAATGTTGGGATCTTAGTGTGGTTATAGAATCAAAGAACGTGTCAATACCATCAATCTTTCTTTTCCCTTTATCATGTCTTGATCTATGAGCTTCAGGAGTTTGTGATTTGGGTAGAGAAGAAGACCCCTTCCTTTATAATATCATATACAAAAATAGGTCCACCCTCCAACTCATTCTATCCTTATTGCTTTCTTTTCAATATCTCCTATATGTTCTCTTAAATTTGGAAGCGAACATTGTGTGACATGCAAGAAGCTATGTTGCCCTTAACTTCTACTAAATGTCATTTCATTCTATTTATGTCTCCTCCCTTATATGCAATACCACAAAACAAACATTTGAATGGATTCATTTCACCAACTCCAATTTTTTTAAAAAAGTGATTCTATACAATATTCATTTTCTTATGCACGCTATAACTCAAAGCTACAAGCTGAGTATTGGAAGCTTCCATTCTAATATGATTAACAAAATGAAATCATTATAAATTTACAATCACATTCAAATGATATTGATAAAGGATCTATCCATAATCATATATGTACAAATAGATAGAGCATATATAATCAATATGAATTTCTAAAATCAACAAGTAAGAATCAAACAAATAAGAACTTCAAAATAATAATGAGTTAGTGACATAATAGACATTCAATTTTTTTACTCTTAAGTTATCCAAACAACAAGAATAATTTTGAGTTTAGTATATATAGATAAATCTACATCAATAATCCATTAGAAATCCAAAAAATACTCTTACCATAAATATTCTCTGATTAAACACTTATAAATCATTGACATAATTCTTTCATTTCTTAGTAAAATAACATTGTAAAAAAAAAAATTAATATCATCTCCCTTTAAAAAGTGAGTAAATTCCTTGCAAACTTTGATTAAGTTGATTAATGACTTAAATTTTTAATTGTAAAAAATAGTTACAATAATTACAATCAATTCTTATAACAAAAAACTACAAACATAAAAAGCTTAATAACTTGATATAATCATTTATAGTTATTTACTAATTAAAGTTACTTAGAATAATATACAATGAACATAACATTAATAATTTTTAACTACCTACAATTTTTGTAAACAACCATTAAAGAGGATAAAACAAGCCCTAATAAGTTGATAAGACTTCATGCATATATAACTATATATATAAAAGTTAAAAAATCATGTTAATAATACAAAAAAATTAGGATATTTCAAATTTTTTTGAAAATAATCATACAAAATATGAAATGCTTAATAAGATGTGATGAACATTTAAAAAATATTTTTTTGAAAATAAAAAAACTCAATTTAATAGCTCAAGAAATATTATTTCTTCGATAAGAAATATTACATTCCACGGGGAGGTAAGTGACGACTGACATTGAATGTAAAATGAGGAGAGAGAACTATGAGGAGCACGACGCTGGAGATGCAGAATACTTACGGTGGGGAGAGGCATTGATGCATCGCGACCATCATCAGGTTCATGAATAGGGACATGGATGGAAGCGAAACCAGAGAAAGAATAATAGACATATAGAACATGAATATGTTTTAAGTTTTTATTAAATTTTAGTTTTGTCAGTATTATTAATTTTTAATTTAAACCATTTGATCTAAACTTTAAGCAACCCTATTTTTTGAAACTAGCATCGACTTGCCGGTTCAATGATCTAACCGACGGTTTGAGCATTTTTTGACGATTCGTGCGAGTCCAATTCTGCAAGAGAACTAAATCGACTAACAGACTGTTTCCTGATTCAATAAGTTGAATCTGCCAGTTCGGCATGTTTTTAAAACCTTACTTTAAACTCCTTTTTATTTTAATTAAATTCTAAAATTTCTAATTTTTTTTTATAAAATATTTTACACCCATTTTATTTTCAATCAAATAGCAAAAAAAAAAAAAAAGTAATGCAATTGAGTTGCCAAAAAAATTTAGGTGTTATAAAAGTAAATTATATTAGATAAATAATTACGAGGGACTTCAAGTTAATTATCGACTTCAAAAACCCTAGGCTTCTTCGTCTTCGGCGCGCGGCAACGTCGCATGTCGGAAGTTTCCAGCCACCTAATCCTAACCTCCTTCGTCCCGCGTCAAGTGATGCTTGAAACGGCTACATCCGCCGCCGTTACGGCCGCCGCCGCCACCTTTAATGACGATAAGTATAAGGAGAAGAAGAGGAGACATGAGACTGTGGCAGTAATGGAAGTTGAGGGCGAGGGTAAGAAGAGCAAGAAGAAAAAATCTTCTAAGATTTCCAACGCCGTTGAAGACGGCTCCGGCTCGGTGGAAGTCATAGCGTTCGATAAGCCGAGCGGCGATGATTTATCCCGTAAAGGGAAGGAACGTGAAGAACTACTAAGATCCATCGCAGCGTTTCTCGAGGGCTGTGGGTTCGCTAAGACGCTCTCGGTCTTCCGCAAGGAAGCCCAGATCGAGGTAATATGTCTTTGGTGAACTTTGAGCAGAAAGCACTGATCTTTGAGACAGAGTGCAATGTGTGGGTTTTCCTTTAGTTCATTTCTCAGCTTCTTAGAAAGCAAACATGATCATCATGGCTTTATTTTCTGAGTGCGATAGGAAACTTTTTTTCATTAATTAGTTAACGTCATAAACACTTCTCTTGTTTTGCGATGGAATGGTGGTTAAGAGGTTTACAAGGCTGATGTAAAAGCTAGAAAAGTGGTGACTAGCTCAAATGCTGGAATGATATAGGTCCAAAACTTCTTTGTTGTGTTTGGATATATTTTCTTCGGTTGCGAAGGGTGAAGACCCTCGAATCTGAAGTTTGGAATTTGTATGAACCAATCGAAGTGATTTTTGGTCAATTGGATTTGTGAGTAGCTAAGTTATTATTTTTTTATGTGACTGGTCATAGTAAGTGAACAACATTAGTAATGGTTTTGTAAAGTCTTTTGACCTGATCTTATGAAGTCTTAAAGTGGTTTACAACCCTGGGAATGTGGAGGGTATGCAGGAGAACAAGTGTAAGGAGATGTGGCGAGCTTTACAAAGCTCAAATTGGTGTGGTGGATAAAGCAATATTATCTTTTTTCATTCATCATTTATTTATCAAATTTGAATTATTTGTAACACCCTCCATTTGAAAAGATGAGACATCTCCTTTAATGCTTCCAATTAACCAGATTCATGAATGCTCTACTAAATGTACCAACTTACTTAAATGGACAGGCTTATATAGTATATACAAAGAAGTACTTACATTAATTACTGTTTCAATGTTGTTTTTATCCATGATGATTGGTTTAGCAGTGCATTCACATATGAGGTTGAAATTACTAGCTTTGTTCTTGGTCAAGAAAATCCTTCCTGTTAAAACTGTATCAGCTATTTATAATTTTGCATTTTTATTCTGTTTTTGATAAAGAAACTGTCATGATTCAGAGTACATGTTTTCAGTTTCTTGTTATGCATTAACTGTTGGATTTGTTGTTCCATCAATCATTAAGTTTTTTTTTTGTGCTGCATTTTTAATGAAGGATATCATTAGAAGTAGAACTCATATTTTTGTTACTTGAACAGGTTAACAGTAGAGGAGTTTCTTGTATTAACTTGGAGGAATTATTTGACAAGTACATTGAGGCAAGGTACTGTGCGACATTTTCATTTTAATGAACTTTTGAATAATTTTCCTTCTATTTATTCATTTAATTTTAAAAAATTGCTTTCTCATGGCATTTCACTATTTCAGTTATTGGAGCTTAAGATAAATTCTACGGCATTTCTTTTTTACCATCATTCATGATCTCTTACAATTTTTACAATTATGTTTGTTTCATTTACCTATTTACAGAATAAGGCAGGCTCCTTGTAGCATGCAGATAAAATATCTAGATAAAAAAGATCGAGTTGAAGTGATTAAAGCATTTTTTTATTAAATTTATTTCTATTTTCTTAGTAAGTTGAACTATGGGGTTTTCAGACTTCAGGTAGGTTCCTTTGGCAAATGAAACTCCCTATCTCAATATGCATTTTTAAAATTTTTGGTTCATAGGTTCAAAAGTATATGGTTGGCAAGGGGTGCAAACGAGTCGAGTTGAGCTCGAGTCAAGCCTAACTTGAGCTCGACTTGCAAGCCAAATTTATTGCTTGAACTCGAGTCAAGGTCAAAAGGTGAGCTTGAGCTCGGCTTGTGCCACTGGAATGAGCTTATTGAGCGGCTCGATTCCATGGTTTGAGTTCGTTAGACAGCTCTAATTATCACATTTCTTATATTCAACAGTAGTTAAAAGGTCATGTTGCTCAGTGGGATCTAATGAGCATTTTCTTACTCCAACATTTGTTTTGAAATAGTGTTTTTGATAAGAGTAGCTTTTGAAACATAGTTAAGACAGCATACATAAAACACTGTACACGTTGGACATATAAACCCGTGTTATACTAAAATTGATCTTTGAACAGCAAAAGTTAGCTGTTTAGTCAGCATAGGATCACACTCTAAACTTCTTCTGCCACAAGAAAACCATGATAAATCAATTAAGCTGTATTTAATCAGGGAAAGGAAGAGTTTATAGAGTTTCCTCAACTTCAAGCAAAAGAAAGAGTTTATAGTTTATTTGCCACCACTTGAATTGAGCTGATCACTTCATCAATGGACCTAAAAGCATAAATATATATTTCAAACCTTCATGAATTTTTTCTCTATGAATGTTTTGTCTCTATAAGTTCACCTATTAAGCTTTTGCAGACAGTAGTAACCTTTGCCAGCAAGGGCTTGTTTGATTACATTTAAGAAGTGGGAAGTGAGATGTGAGGGAAGTCAATTACTTTCGCCTGCTTAGTTTACTGGGAAGTTGGAAATGACTTGTAATATATTTCTTAGCCATTTTACTTCACGCTTGTGTTCCTCAAAATCGCACTTCTGAAATTTATTAAATATGACACCTCATTTTCTTGGAAACTATAGTCACGCATTCATTTATACAAATAATGTAACTTATGACATATTACAAGGTATGATAAAATTATATTCATATAATTAACAACTACTGCCAATTTGTTTGTTTATATTTTAGATATTATACATAAATAAGGCATATATAATATTTGGATAATATTATTGTTTAAAATTGCACAATATGAGGCTCGCATTGTGGCCCGCCTCAGCGCAATTCCATTGATAAACGCCTCAAGAGCAATATAGAATTATGAATTTCTTTTTGTGCTTAATAATTATTATATATTGTTGGAATGAATATAGTATATCACGAACACACACGTGTGCACATGTGTGTACACATATACATATATATATACACCCATGACCCAATACACCAAATTTATATTTTATTAGTAATTGAATTTATTATATAAACTTGTTATTATATGTTTCTTAATGTTTTATTTACATAACATGCTTATATATGTGGGAAAGTTGGTACATTTCATAATATAATATGAATATTATATATTTGTATAGTACATTAAATTTATCAAGATTATTAATCACTTTTCTTTGTTATTCTACCAAACAATATAAAATGGTGAGTACAATCACACAACTTTTTTAGAAGCAACTTAACTTTTACTCCATGAAATGAGATGTGTCATTTATAGTCACTTACAAGCAATCATAGACATTCAAAGCTTTTGAAAAAGATGCAACAACAACATCAAGCCTTATCCAACTATATGGGGTTTGCAACATGAATCCTTTTTCTCCACTGTGTCATGTTAAGAGTCAAATTCTCATTCAAATCTAATAAAGGAGGTTATTTTTTATACTTTCTAATCAAGTCTTTTAGGTCTACCTTTACCTTTCTTGACATAGGTTAAATCTAATACATTTACTCTCCTAATCGGGTCATCAGAAGGCCGACATTTTATGTGACCAAACCATCTAAGATGACTCTCTAATCTTATCTTCCACTGGAGCTACTCCAATATTTTCACTTATATACTCATTTCACGTTCTGTCTCTAAGAGTAAAGCTACTCATCCATATGAGCATCTGCATCTCTGCAACAATTAACTTAATTTTATGCTTCTATTTTAAGTTTTTAATGACCAACATTCTATACCATAAAGGATTGCATGTCTCACCACCATCTTATAGAATTTTCCCTTAAATTTGATGGGTACTTTTCTATCACACAATAGGCCGGATGCATTCCTCCACTTCAACCATCCAACTTGAATTCTTCTATTAAAATTCTCATCCATTTCACCGTGACTTTGAATAGTGGACTGGAGAATCTAAAACATGTACTCTTTTTTAATGATTTGATCGCCCAAAGTCATAATCCTTCCACTAGATCTTTACTACTAAAATTACACTCTAAGTATTCAGTTTTAGATCTACTCAAACGATAACATTTAGACTCTAAGGTAAACCTTCATAATTTTAAGTTTTCCTTCAACTTTCTCTCTAGTCTTATCAACAAGAAGATTATTAATTTATTATCAGCAAAAAAGCATAAACCAGAGAACATCCTCTTGTAAATGTCTAGCAAGAACATCAATGACTAAGGCAAAAAGGCATGAGCTTAAAGCTAATCCTTGATGTAATGCAACTGAAATAGGAAAATATTTGTTCAAACCATCTTGTGTTTGAACACAAGTAACAACTCTTACATACATGTCCTTAATGACTTGATTATAAGCATTATTAACACATTTCTTTTCTAGAAATCTAAATGTATAAATATCATATGTAGATCCTCCTTATTCTCTCTATACTTCTCCATCAAACCTCTCAATAACTGTATAGCTTCTATAGTAGACCTACGCGGCATAAATCCAAATTAATTTTGAGAAACATTAGCAACTATTAAATTCTCTTGCATAATAAATTACAAGCATACTTTTGGAATTGTAAATGTCATCTTTGATTTATGTTGAATTATTTTTTATGGTATCTCGAGCATATGCCTATTCACACCATTGAGGTCTAGCTTAAGCAATATGTTCCTGGTTCCTAAGGTAGAGGTCATTGGTTTGAGCATGGCCTATTACCTTCTGTAGATTAAATATTAAAAAATTTAATAGTTTCTTGCATGAATTTTAATCTCTTAGCAACTTTGCACCCCCTTTATTTGTAATTGGCCTCATGCCGTATTTAGGATAATTTTTTGAGGTGTCCAACGTCTTCGATTTCAAATTTTCTGGCTTGAAGATCTTTAGCTTGCTATCTATTTTTCATAATTTTCAATAATAACAATGTCATCCACATATATAGATTTCTCGATTTACAAACATGGTGTGATTGGATTGGCATTGTGATAAATTCATTCATATTTACAAATTTTGTAAATTTCTCAACCAAGCCCGTAGAAATTGTTTTAGGTTGTATGGGGATTTTCAAACTTTACATACATTAGTAATGTTTTCTTGAGTTTCTAAACTTAGGAATGTCCGTGTATACTTCTTTCATATCAATATTGAGAAATGTATTATTGATGACAATTGTGAAGTGGTCAATCACAGTTTGTCTCTAGAGATAATAAAACACTAATTGATTTAAGTTTTACAATAACTGAAAATATGTCTTCATAGTCTATCTCTTAAGATTGAGTGTATCCTTTAGTAACAAGTTGTGCTTTGAATATGCCCACCATTCTTTCTTCGTTATGTTTAGCATAGAAGATTCACTTGAAACCAATAGTGCTCTTCACAATGCCCATATTTCTTCTAAAATTCTTCTAGAACCACACGTTTCCGTAGAGGCTGGATGAGAGCATCTTGAATATTTTTAGGAATTTGACTATTAGTGAGGCTTGTGGCAAATGCATGAAATTTGTTGGAAATCCCGTCATATGATACAATGTTTTGTATTGGGTATATTGAGTAAGACGTTAAATTCCCTGTTTTAGTGCAATACAAAGATTTAAGGGTATGCATTATTTGTACAAAATTGAAAAAAATGAATCACATTGATTTTATTTGGTTGTTTCGATTTGATTATTAAGGTATTGGTTCGATTTTGATTATTAAGGTATGTAATTTTGACTTTCTTTCATTGTTTATTTATTGGTTTGGTTGTTATTTTTATAAAGCCTATTAAACTAAAAATTAAATTAGGCTAAATTATTTAAATACTAAATCAACAAAACCTATGGACTATAAATAAACAAGAGACAAAAAGTTCAATGTGGATATTATTTATTTCACATATTAAACTTTTTATTAAAGATTACTTGAGATTTTTCTTAATATATATTATTTAAGTTAAAGCTAATTAGGTTGATTGTTAAATTTAATTACATTTCGATTCATCCAAAATAGAGCAGAACTGATCAAACTAAAGTTTTGTGCTTTGATATGCCCAGTCTTCCAACATTGTTTATATTGCAACTTGTTTTTCTTTTCACGTTTGCCATGAGAGAAGTGGGGACTACGAGTAACAAGAGTAGATTTTTCAAAGTTAAGGTGCGCTTGTAACGACTTTCATATTCTCACTATTGAGTCTACGTAAGAATTTTGACCCTTTCCTATTCAATGATTTTATGTAACATTAGTTATTCCTTTGGATTCTTCCATACAAAATCTTAAACAATATTGATTTGGTGTCAATTTCTAAGAATATTAAAATATATTGTTATATAAAGATCTTCTATCCTTAAGCTGTGGAGAGTTGCCTCAAGTTCAAAGACCTCAAAAGTTATTTATTTATTTATTTTTGAAGTATGTTTCTTTCATTTCCTTGATGCTTCCCATATCTTTTGCATGGCTTTGTAGTACGTGAAATTTTATTCTCTCGCATTTGTCATTGAGTTAATGAGCCATGACATCACCATGCTATTTTACAATTTTCGGATATTGAGCCATTGGTCTTTGGCGATTGGAGGTGTAGTTGCTCTGGTGAGGTAATCTTTTTAACCTTTCCCTACGTACACAGATTGTGACCACTGGATGAAATTATTGCTATTGAGTATTTGTCTTGTGGTTTTGGAGAATGGGAAACTCATTTCCACCGAAGTTGTCGGTGAAGCCTACGCTTGGATTAGTGGTAACTTTTAACGTTGGGCGTATATGGAGTCACATTACTGAAAGGGCATCCACTTATATATTTTTTTAAATTATTTGCAGTTATTGTTCTGCCTCAATATGTTGATTATAGTATGCATTTTTCTTATTTTGTTTACTGTACCTTATACTCAAGTTAATTGTTCTAATTATAGTTTTTCTATTTCATAACGTTGTTGGATATGCAGTAAAAGATATCCAGTTGCTAGCATAGAGGGTTCAAAAGAGAAAGGTATGACTTCATTTCTTTGACTTGGATCTCTGTCAATATTTTGATGCCAGGAACACTTGATGTTAACTCATTGTTATGCAAATATAGAAAAATTAATTGCTGATGTTGTTGATGATTCAGATGCTGAAACTAAAGATAAAAGGAGAAAAATTAAGCAAGTTTCCGATTCATTTGCGAAAGAAAATACTGAAAGAAATCACTATGATGCTACCCTTGGATCAGAGGAAAATACTGATTGTGGCAAACTCTTAAATGTCAAAAAGGAAAAGAAACATAAGGCGATACTTGGTAAAAATATGGGTGAAGTGGTCTGCCTTGAAGAGATTGTTATGGAGAAAATTGAAGAATTGAAGGATTTGACCAATAACCCCAATGTTGAAACGGGTAATTTTGAGAAAGATAAAGGAGTGAAGAAGAAGAAGGAAGCTAAACAATTTCTTGAGCAGTTTGAATTGGGCGACAATAAGAAAGTGATTGTCAAGAAACCCAATGATGAAGGGGCTTATGCCTCTTCTAAACTTCAAGAATCAGTGAACGTGAATAACTTAGTCAATGATCTATCGGAGAATGTTGATGAAAGCAGAAAAGATAAGAAAAAAAATAAAAAAAAGAAGCTAGAGAAGTCAACTTCAGATAGCCTACATACAATTAATTCTGAAAAGTTTGTTGAAGAAACATCTGATGTACTGGGAAAACATGATAATGATGGCTTGCAAAAGTTTGACTTGAGAAAGGACAGCATTGCAATATCTAAAGAGGATACTACTGATGTTGAAACGACAACTAACAAGACAACTAACAAGAAGAGGAAGAGGCCTTCATCCAACGAGACAGCAATACAAGTTGAGAATATAACTGCAGCTAGCAAGTCAAAACATACCAAGCCAGAAGTTGCTATAGAGGAAAAGGAAACTTGGGATAATAAAGTTTTGACATGCAGTGAATCTTCACCATGCAATTGGGAATCGAAAGAACCTTCTGAGGCACTTTGTAGTGTTGTTTTGGATAAGCACGAAGGAAATCCTACTTCACAGGATCCGAAGAAGCAATTGAGTGGACATGAGCTCACAAATGGGAGTATTGGGAAGCATCAAAATGAAAGAAGCATTAGGCCAAAGTCAATGAAAAATGATAAGCATTCCAGTGAGGTATGTCTTGTTTCTTTTGATTTTTTGCTTGGTAGTTTATGAAAAGGTAACAGAAGACTACTGACCTTCTTTTTATTACTTAAATCTGAAAACATATTAACTAACTTAGATGTTCGAAGTGTTTTCCCCCCATGTTATTGAATTCATGCATTAAACTAATAGAGCTGTTTTTTTATGAAATCTATGTTTTTGTACTGCATAGTGTTTCTTTTTCTGTAACATCACATAAAATGATGTGTTGGGGCTGCTTACAAAACTTTAGGTTGGTTTTACTTGTTTTGGCTGGAATGGAAATTTAACCTTGTTTTTTAGTTCCATTTCCTTAACTTGATTTTTTTTTTATTCTAGTTTGATCAACTTGTTAAGTCTGATAAGTAACGGTACTAGACATATTCATGGATCCCTACTTCATATCTCAAACACTTGTTTATTTGCAGTCTTGTTGTCCTTAAAAAGATTAGCGCACTTCTGTTATCTACGAAGTTGATATATATAAATGTATAAAAAGAGAGAGAGAGAGAGAGAGAGAGAGAGAGAGAGAGGGAGAGGGAGAGGGAGAGGTTGTCTTTAATTTTCTTGGCTTGCGTAGAGTTTCAACCAAGTTTTTTGGTACCATATATTAAAAATGATTTTGGATGTGACCTACTTATATTTTGGATTCTAATTTGATTTTCTTGTTAGGTCTGCAACGATCTTAGAAATGTTCATGGATCCCAGCTTTTTTTAAGTATACTTTGCTTGAGGTTTCGTTAAGTTTACATCTTGAAGATTTGTTTATCACATTAATGTTGTCAAATAAAAGATTATCAAACTTCTATTACTTAATGAAATTTACAAACATCAATCCAATAAATACATGTAGTAATATAACTTTGATCATAACCTTTTATCCTACTATATTGGGTTAGATGCATGCATGTCTAAACAAAAGTTGAATAATTCATTCCACTTTTTGGTTTGATGCTAAAATTTGGTCTCTACTTCAGCTTTGCTGCTGTGTCTCCTCATGAATGCTTCTTTGTTCGGCTATTGGTTTATTCCGTTCATTTCCCTCATCCCTTATCCTCTTTCTCCTCTACACCTCCACTGGTTGCCTTACTAAGCTTAAGTTTACCTTTTACACATCATCTCTAGAGTATGTTCTTTGGTTCTTAGGTGGAAGAATCAAAACTATTCAAATGTTGGTTGTGCAGTGGTGTTCGGAAGCAAGCAGCTAGATCGTATCGTTTATTAGCATTATACGCTTATATTCAGTTTTTAACCTTGGGTTGTTTTGTAGTTTTTCAAATTACAGGTGTCCAATACTTATATGTTGTCCTTGCTGATTTTTTTTAATATATTAGTTATCATATATGATTGTCATGGTTAAAGAGGATTTCTGCTGGTGAAGATAATGCATTTGAAAATGTGTTTGAGGATTGATTTTTTTACCACAATCATTTGATTGTTTCATTGCGAATGAATATCATTGTACTGAACAAATTGAGTTTAAGATGTTAGCATGATTTTTTCTTTGCGACCATTTTGTTATTTTATCTTTGGATAGTTTGGAGTACAGGGTATTCTCAATTGATAATTGATAGTTATTCGGGAGAAGGATGTTTTTCATGTCATAGTAGAATGGAACACGTTTACTATAGTGTATTGTTTAATCAATTTGATTTCTCATTTTTTTTTTAAATTATGTGGGTCTCCGAAAAGATTATGCTTATGGGGTTCGAATGCAAAGGGTACGACTGCACTATCCTGTAGGACAAAATGATCATAGGCCTTTATACTCGACCTAAGCAGGCCGATGGAAGAGCAGATGGAGCCATACATACGATTAGCCATGGAGGATAGCGGCTTTCGCCTACACACCTCGATGGATAATAATATGTATAATCCAAAATATCACGAGATTTCTCCTATTCGATGCATCAACTCGAATAGGGTTTATTTTATGTGGGGATCGGTTTCCTACGGGCGTAAACCCCCGTAGTTAATTACATCTTAGATCTCAGTCTAAGAAAACTCTCAATAAAAGATGTTAAATTATCTTCTCAAATAGATTTAGCACAAAGAAATTTCTAGGCTTTCCTAATAAAAAAAAAAGAGAGACCCAATTTGGTTTAATCATCATACGTGGTTCAATATCAACACTCGGCCGGTCTGAAGAAGAGAAAACTGAAGAAAAGAAAAGACAATTGCATTCAAGCATGTGTGAGAGAAAGAGCGAGGTGACATCATTCGTGTGATGCAGATGAGTACGATTTATAGCCTCTGACAGAATAGAGAGCTTACCTTCCATTAAGGCGTACACGTACCATTGGCCTTGGGTCATAAATCTATAAAAGATGTAGTATCGTACACACGACACTAATATCTACGACCTAACTAATGCAACTTGGACTCATGCATTGTTTGAAAAAGGAAAAATAAAACCACCTAGTCGTATAAAATCTATAATATCTGGTCCATATGAAAGATTTGTGGGTGGTTAAGCTTTGGAATTTGGGATCGACATCTAGAAAAGTTCCTAAGTGAACCCACACTTATGAATGCTTTCATGCTTCTAAGACTCATGCTTTTAAATTTTAATTTCAGTTAATTCCTAAAGCGATGCGTGCTGATCAAAATATCCAAATTAGAAATATATGAAATTTTAAAAAGGTTTATAAAATAATTTTGTTTGAAAGACTAAGCTTCCCCTGGTCCGGCACTTCACCCTCATAGGCCAGATTATCCGGACTCTACCCATAAGTGGGGAAGTGTCTAAATAAGGGAGAGAAGAGAATGCATTAAGATGCATGCGACCCCGGGCGATTCCGACTATTCCCTAGATCGTTATGTTTTTATGTTATTTAATTCTTAAAAAATTATTATTAATTACGAGTAGAAGAATTTTATTCCTAAGAACCTAGCGAGTCAGACACATGCACATGCAAGAAAGAAACCTATAAAAAGCATGTCAGTTCTACTGCGCAAACAAAGTAAACAATCATCTCAACAAATCACAGAAAAGTATCCAAAGTCCATGGCAAGTGCCATATAATATACATCACAGAGTATCAAAAAGTAGTGGTGGCTGGGCTCCACCGACAACAACCCGGGTTCTACTCCTAGGGAATGACGCAAATCTTAAAACAAGGCATTTTTATCTTGATCTTCACTTTCATGATTCATTTATGGATTGTCTTCCTTCAGGTTACTCGTAGTGAGTCCTTCAAAAGGATGCCCAAATAAAAAAGGAAATTCTCTATAAGAGATTTTCTTTTTCCTTTAAACCCCTTTACATTTAAAAATGCCTTATTTTAGATTTTCACAACACTTGACACCAAATACATTACATTAGAAAAATTTTAAAAAAAATCTAGACTCTCCTGCAGGGTTATCCTAAGCAGTTATAATAAAACATCCAAGTAGTTGTATATATGAAAATGAAATGCTCAAACCAATCACATTTGACCGTGCTTTATTTTATTTGGGGGCTAAGCAGTTGAAGCACCTAAAACAGTTATACATTTTCTTAATTTTAGCATTCTTTTAGCACCGTGTGAGCACGACCATATGTAGGAAAATATCGTCAGTATAAAAAGCGTTTCTAACCTATGTATATTCTTCTATCGCTCACAACATAGTGCAGAAAAAGAACTAATAATCATCATAGAAAGCTAAAACAAACAGCAAGAACAACCAGCATACGGGTCACATCCAAAGCGCCACTACACAAAGATAGAAAGAAAAGCAGAATATCGGCTTAACCTAAAACTAGTAGTCATGTTCTAACAAACAAGTTTATATGTGTGTAGCAGGCTGTGTAGTCTTGGGTATGTCCTATGTATGATGATTTAGTTAAAGTTGCTTGTATTTGATTTATTAAAGGCCAAAGAGAAGTTTTAATCGAAGTTTAAATATTAGTATTTTAAGATTAATTTTAAAGATTTTATTTTAGTATTTGGTTGATTTTCACCTTTATTTCTCACATAGGCCGTGAGGTTTATTTCACCCTCCTTGGGGCTAACTTAATTGTCTCGCAGGCTTGGGTTATCTAGTGATAATCAATTTTGTTAAATTAATTTAATTGTTTATAAATTAAAAAAAAAAGTGTGAATTAAGCAGTTTATTAATCAAGAGTTTCGTTAATTGATTTTAAAATATTAGTTTAAGATTTGATCTTTAGAAGTCTTTCATCTTAATGAGCTTTAGTTTTAGGTTTGATCTCCTTATTTAATATACATTTTTTAAACTTTAAGTTGGTTAGAAGTTGATTATTAGATTTATTGGATTTGATATAGGTTTTATATTTTGATGATTATGAAATATTAATTATGATTTGAATACAAATTAAGTGATTTAGTGAATTTTAAAAGTTAGATTAAGATTGATTTGGTTGGTTGATTATTAGTAGATTAAAACACACTAAACCTAGGAAAACATGTCACTAAATTTATTTTTTGATGTCTCTATCCTATAAGGAGCATGCACTATAAGTCTATGTTATCTAAGACTCGGTCCTTAATTTTTGTCCTTAGATGTCACTAAAGTTATGAAACTAAAAAAGTTTTGTTTTTAACCCTTAAGACATTCGTACATATGTCAACAAGTTTAGGGATCTAAAATAAAATAAAGTAATCCTAGTTACAAATGAAATTTCTATAGGGTTTTAAAGGGTAGGGAGCATACAACTATTGGGTCCTCTAAAAGTTTTCTAAGTTTAAGGAGACTTGCAACACCGGGGCTATGACCCGGTGGTTCTGCCCATAGCGCCCCCACTAGATTGAATGGGGACGACTGATGCTCGGATCTAACTGTCCATGCTCCTTCATCTAGTGCTTCAATACTCTTTCCCTTTTGCTCTCTTAAAGGAAGCTTTTTGTTATTTGCATATTGGTTTGGCCACTTGCATTCTTTTTGAATTTTCTTATTTTTGCAAGCATTCAATTTTAAAGCATAAGTAGAGAAGCGGCAGAAAGACTAAAAGTAAAGAAAAAGACGACAAAATGCAATGACAAGAAAGGAATAAAAATTAAAAATAAAAGAAATGTAGGTATTTTTATCTTTGGACATACTTCTTTGGAGTCAAGTATGCCTCTAAAACATCATTCACCCCAATTCAATATAATGTGAATAGAGAAGAAAGTGTTTTTTGATGTCATTTACTGTCCCCACGTTTTAAACAAAACACTGGAATAATACCC